ATACCTAAATACTTCTTAAATGTTATGAGGGTTTCTGCCTCTACTATCCTCACAGCAGTGAGTTCCAGATTCCCACCACCCTCTGGGTAAAAAAGCTTTCCTCACATCTCCTCTCAACCTTCTGCTCCTTACCTTAAATCTATGCCCCTCTCATTGATTCCTCTATCAAGGGGAAACATTTCTTCCTGTCTCACCTGTCTATGCCCTCATGATTTTATACATTTCAATCATGTCCTGTCTCAATTTCCTCTGCTCCAAGAAAACAACCCCCAGTATGTCCAATCTCTGCTCATAACTGAAACTCTCCAGCCCAGGCAATATCCTGCTAATTCTCCCTCACTGTCCTTTTACTCTTAACGTCCCTTAAAATGACGTGGATTTTCCTTTATTTTACCTGCCAACATCCTTTCATATTTCCATTTAGCTCGATTTACCTCAAGTATCTGTTAGATCTTATATTTTCCAATGGGAGTCCGAGTCTGGTGGTAGATTCAGATACAACTTTATTTTGGTACAATTTTGTTACCGCTTCAGATTTTCTTTTTTGTAAGACACAGAGAAACTTCAAATTGTATACAGTTAAAACTTAGTGTGCATACACCATCCTGTTTGATACTATCAGTCAGTGGCACTGCATTATCCCTCTGTGGTTGGCTCTCTGGTACAGCATCTTAAAGAGATAACAGGCTGGTGGTCCAGCCTCGGTCATGATGTTTTCACAGACTTTCTTATCTTTCTCCTTGAAGCTTCTCATAATGGATAACATTTGCTAGCTGTGTGTTCTGTCCCATTTAAGACAGATCTGCTATTGTTCTACTTGTGGAGACTATATTGAGCGAGCGTTTTCCAACAATTTCTAGCTACTGTAGCCATGGGCAGCCGTCAGCCATTCTGTGCCACCCAGTTACGGGCAGCCCCAACAATTTCCTCCCCTTTGATTCCTCCTTAAGCAAATCACAAAGCACGCAAGGATATAGTTAGGCAAACACTCAAAATACACACAGTTAGTAATACGGTGTAGAACTGGATGAACACAGCAGGCCAAGCAGCATCACAGGAGCAGGAAGGCTGACGTTTCGGGCCTAGACCCTTCTCTTGACCTTTAAGAGGTTGTTCAGTGGCTGTGCTAGTTGTGTGTAGGAGTCAATTCAGTTCCTATTAAAATTACACAGTTCTAAAAAGGATCTGAGTTCCTGGATGGTAGTGGGCTCTTGGCCCTTCCAAATTGCTGCAGTTCTGTCCTGGGTAAGTTCTCATTTTCCCTCTAAAATATTTTGCCCCAAATACACAACCTCTTCCTGCAACACTTGAGCCTTGTTAAAATTGGCTTCATGTCCTCGGGAGTGCAAGTGGTCCAGCAGGATTCACAGATCCTGTTTGTGCTGTTCCTCTGTATTGGAGGCCACCAGAATATTATCCACGTACTGATTAACTGCAGAAGACATAGCAGGTAATTCTCACGTGATTTTGCAGGGCCATGTGAAATACAGTAAGACTGCTGTGGAAGCTCTGTGGTAGCCAGGACCAGGTGTATTGTTGTTGCTGGATGGTGAAGACAAACCACTGTTTATTCCCTGCCATGGTTTGCCTTCTGTATTATCTCCTTCCATTGTTGGATCTGTCCCATCAGAATGAGGGACCACCTTACTCATTCTTTCTCCTCAATACATGTAGTCTTTCCCTAGCCCCTTTTAATATCATCCAGGGACCATTGTCCCATAGAGGTCTTGTACTTTTTCTTGATTTCCACATGGGTTTAAGGTAGGTCGAATTGTTGTTCTATATGTTCATTCAAGTTCTGTAAAATTTCACCTTCAGATATATCAGGTGGGTCCTGCCCACCCTCAGTTGTTGTGGAAAGTTCTTGTTTCTTTTCCCCTGCCATTATTTCTTATGACGATCAGTTTTGATAGGTTTCGAGTTGTGGGCTAGTCGTATAGTTTGGGGGGGATGCAGAGATATTATTTTCTCTGCCAGGGGGCCAGAGATATTATTTGCTTTGCCAAGTTAAACATCTGTTAGGGGATCTTGAGCCATATTTCACTTGGAGAATTTCGAAATCACATGCACAATCGACCGAATTTAAACAAATGACCCAGAACGTTTAAAAGGAGTTCTTACCCCCAGGGGCTAGTGTAGGTCTGTTGTCTGAGATTTAGTCCTTCATTCCTCCAGTGACCCTGATGTCAGCACCAAATTGTTTGACCTCATATTTTCCAATGCGATCTGAGTCTGGTACAACTTTATTTTGGTACAACTTCGTTACAGCTTCAGATTTTCTTTTTCATAAGACACACAAAAACTTCAGATTGTATATAGTTAAGAGTTAGAGTACACAGGTTCCCCTCCCCTTCCCCCCCCTACTTTGATACTACTGTTCAGTGGTGTGAGGATATCCCTCTGTGATTGGCTCTCTGGTACAGCATCTTAAAGAGATGGACCCTAGGCTGGTGGTCCAGCCCCGGTCATGATGTTTTCACAGACTTATCTTTCTCGTTGAAGCTTTTCACAATGGATAATATTTGCCAGCTGTGTGTTCTGTCCCATTTAAGACAGACCTGCTATTGTTCTACTTTCAGATACTACATTAAGCAAGTATTTTCCCACATGCTCTAACTAATGTAGCCATGGGCAGCCATCGGCCATTTGTGCCACCCAGTCATGGACAGCCCTAACAGTATCCGCTCCCAGTCCACTTTGGTCAAATCATACCTGGCCTTATTAAAATTAGCCTTCCCCAGTAAAGAACTTTGATTTCAGACCTATCCTTGACTATTTCCATTACAATCTTGAATCTAACTGAGTTATGATCGTCGTCTGAAAAATGCTCTCCCATTAATACTTCAACCACTTGCCCATCTTTGTTACTTAAAATTAAGTCCAGGACCACCCCGTCTCTATACTAGCTTAAAAAGCACTCATGGATGCATTTTAAGAATTCTGCTCTCTCCAAATCTTTCACACAATGACTACCCCAGTTAATGTTGGGGAAGTTGAAGTCCCCTAAGATCACTACTCCATTACTTTCACACTTCTTGTACTTGGTGTGGGAAAAAATGTCCACAACGAATGTATCTCTTTTCAAATTAACCCTGTTGCAACCAACTGAGGGTGGAGCTAAGTTAACAAAGACAACTTCATCTCTCTCTACCCTGGAGCGTAGGTGGGATATCCCACCTGGAATCTTAACAAATCAGGGATCATTGCCCACATTCCAGTTGTAATAGAAATCAGTGAAACAAAGTAAACATTAAGTATTATCTTAAGTAACCCCTATCTTCTTAAAAACTCAGAATGAATGCAAGTTGAACATGAATTAACAGGCAGGTTACAGTCAATTATAAACCATAAAAACCACACATTAAATGGCAGATTCTCAGTCTGTATATCACCAGTCATAGTCACAAAGTCTTTCAAAACATTTTCTTCCTTACAAAAGATTTCAGCTTCTCTATCTTGGAGCTAACTAAATCCTCACACTGACAAGAGCACTCAACTACCCAAGTTCTGTGAGCATAGTCCTCACCAAAACTGACACATATCTACAGAACTTCCTCAACTTGGTCTGAATCAATATTATCTCCAAGTGACAGAAACTGCTGCAGCAATGATATATTTGCTTATTTTTAGTGTATTCTTCAAGCTACCGGTGCTGCACCACTGGAATCATCAATAACTACACTCATGGGATGAGGACATTGCTGGTTGGGCCAGCATTTATTCTCTGACCCTAGTTGCCTTTGAGAAGGTGGTGATGAGCTGTCTCTTGAAGTGCTGCATACCATATACTGTAGGTAAACCCACAAGGCTGCTAGGGAGGAAATTCTATGTTTTTTGACCCAAAGACACTGAAGAAACAGTGATGTATTTCTAAGTCAGGATGGTGAGTGACTTGGAGGGATACTTGCTGGTTGTAGTGTTCAAATGTATTTACTGCCAGCGTTAGGGGGTCATGGAGCCACAACTAAAGCATTCTTTGATGATTTAGCAATTGGGAGGGTGAGATTACTTTCACTTTTCAGTTTCCCTTTCCAATAGGGTCTAGCTCAAAAAACATCCAAGTTTTGAAACCGTGGACTGCAGGGGAATTTGACTAATTGAATTACCTTTTCAAAGAACCAGCCAAGACACAGTGGGTTAAAGGCCTCTTTTGGCATAATACAGTATGTCATGATTCAACATTTCTGTGATTAACCAAGAAAGTTACCAAAATCCCCTTTGCTTTTTGCTACAAACCACTATTTGGACTTATGCCAGGTACCTATCATAAAAAATTATCTTATATTAAATGACAATGTAGTACTTTGCAGGTATACGATATGAATTGATTTGTTTTATAATCAACCTGTTCAGAGATATTATTACACACCCTGAAGCGGGTGGGATTACACTGGCTCAGAGGCAGGGACACTACCACTGCACCACATGATGAAAATCTACTTAGAAATCAGGGATTTGAGCCTGGCCATGCCGGAAGAACAGCTGGAGGCATCCATCACATCCCGCGCCCCTGCTGAGCGGCCGGTTACGGCTCGAACATTCTCGGTGTTTTCGCAGCGCCCACTACCCACGCGCACCCTCGACCACCTTGTAGCGCGAGACAGTCCGATTCCGTAATTTAAAATAAGACCCTATTCCGCCCAACCGACTCACACGTGCGAGGGCCACTGAACCGCCACGTCCCTTATCAAAATAAAACCTAAATAACTGCGGATACTGGAAACCAGAAACAAAATCAGAAATTGCTGGAAAAACTCAGCAGGTCTGGGCAGCATCTGAGGTCAGAGAGCAGAGTTAACATTTCGGGTCCAATGACCCTTCTAGAGAATGTCCCTTATCAAACTGTTGTTACCAGTGTCGAAGTGAGATACACAAACTACACGGTAACATCTGACAGCGGCGTGTTTTCTCCGTGTATTACGGTACGGCCGTTATTCCAGTGGCAGGTGTCTGTGTACTACAGTAACCCCAGTGAAGTCGCACACACTCGGAGGTGCAGCTCCAACAAGTTTGGGGATCTTCTTCTTATCGCTTGTTCTATTTTCAATTTTGTCGCGCTCGCGTTATTTTTTTTTTAATCAAAGGAACTTGCCGAGCAGGAAAAGAGCTTCACGCGTGCCACCCCCTTCTCGGCGTGTGGTCCCCTTCGTATACTGAAGGAGTGCAGGTTGCTGCGGCCACCGCGCTGCCTGCTTCTCGGCTTCACTGGTCAGTGTGTTCCGGCAGACGGCCACGATGTTGCAGGTTGCCAGATCTGCAACGAACTGTGATTACTGGATCGACGGCTCCAACAAAGAAAGCGCCCTGGAAGATTACTATGAGGTCGAAACGGAACTGGGACGGTATGTGTGCAGCCAATTCCACTTTCTATCGGCACGTTTCAATATGATCATTCGCTCAAAATGACACTTGCAATCCCAGGGTTTTTATTTTATTTGCAGGGTTGGTACAAGACAACGTTAGCTGTGCTTGAAAATGATCAACTTTCTGCACTTTTATTTAAACCTTGGATTTATATTAAAATTTAAACCTAAACGATTCTAGAGTGATGCATTCTGGCATCGGTATCTCCACCAGCAGATGGTTTCTGTGTCTTCAGTTTTGAAAGCCAAAATGAATAAACATTTATATTATGTTGAAGTATTACAGACTAATATTTAGAGTGCTTTTGACGTGAAAATGTTTGCCAATGGAGCCTCTGAGCCCTCGATAATCTGAATAACTGAATTCTTCCTTCATTGCTTGTTCATCATCCTAACACCATATCGGAGTTGCTTCCATAAGTATATTTCTCAGCGATATAACTTCTTGTATGACATCAAGTCGTGTAGGTTATCGTTCTTCCATTTCATACATGCGAGCAAGATTTTGGAATAAGAAACCCGGGAGACTTATTAAGGTTCAGTATTGTGTAAAGGTGCAAAAACCACTCAGAGGACTTTTTTCTGTTATTCTCTTTGTTGCGATAACATTGTTTTCCTAACTAAAACTTTCGCAGACTTAAGAATCCATCTTGAAGCAAAAATTACTTCAAGTCAGAATAGTGGTTTCATTACTTTTTTTTAGAAAACAAACGTGTTGATCGTTATTCATGGCCCTTGCTATTGCAGGACATTAAAGTAAGCATTTAAACTTACTTAAATAATGGTCAAATGGATAACAGTTTGCCCATTTTCTGTCTTTTGGTCTGTTTGGTTCCTGAAGTAACCCGTTATTCCAGTAGTTTGGGATCAAGATGCTTAGGTGCCCATTTTTGACGAAGAGAAATGGTTCAAGTGGTAAAAAAGTGGTACAGATTCACGCCGGTTTGGCGTGCAAGTATGCAGCTTTTGATGTATTACGACTGTCTTGGGGATACCTAAAGTAAATGTTGGTGGGGTTTCCAACTTTTCGACCATTATCTCACGTTTTTGATAGCAAATGTAAATGTGGATATTGCATCTGTACAGTGAATAGCATGCACAAACTCACTGCCACGGCTCAAATGTGTGGAGAAATTGCACTATCAGCAGCGGATTCAGTGTTGGTGTACACAAATACAGCAAAATTCAAGGGGGAAAAGAAGGAAATAAAATTGAGGGAGACGATTGGCAGAGCATTCTGTTACTGAAGAGAGAGTACTGAGTTTGTGTTCTTAGACCTCTGTTCACTAATTCCCTGCGAAGAATAAGATACCATCATTAGTGTTGCCTTTCAGCCAGATATCCCATCCCTGCAAATTCTATCAATTTAGTGGGCTGGGTTTCCTGGAAGGTGACTACAGTTGAAGAACTTGTCTGATGGAAAATCTATGGGAAATAAATCTATAGATTGAAATAAGTACAACAAATCAAAAGTAATATTAAAGTTCTACAAAATTTGTTCCAGCTGTCTACTGACATTGATTGTTAATTTGGTCCTGAATTGCATTTCTTGGTTCTGCTAAATGTGTAGGATTAAATGTTCCAGTATCTATAAAATCCTCAGCATTTCTGTAGGATTGTGTGACATTCAAGGGCAAAGGTTTAGTTCAACTGTTCTCTGACATCACCTACTGTAGGCTGTTGCACATCTGTCAATTAGCAGGAAACTGTAAAAGTGTATTTCCATGCAAGCCCTAGTCTGCCAGTCACAATCAGTGGTTTTGTCTGAGGATGTAAAAATACATCTCATTAACTTTGAAGAGCTTTACATTCAAGCTTGACACTATAACCACATGCCTACATCAATCCTACCCACACACACATTTTTCTAGTTCCTGGAAGACTACCATTGCACAGAATGTATATTGAATTGGGTTATGACTGTTAATCATATGTAAAGTAGATTTGAGCAACACAATAGCATAGAAAAATCCTCAATTTTTCTCTACAATATAATTAATTTCAGTTCAGGTTGGTGTTTAAGCTCCAAAATTAATTTGGTCAATAGCTGACTTTAAAAAAACTTTCCATTAAAATATTCAATTGTTGCATTTCTATAACTCATTCATTAAGTATTAACCCTTAAATTGTTGGGACCATCACCTAATTTTTCTGCAACATTATCCTTTTAATTTTTTTTTAGGATTAATTACAAATTTTTTAATAGCAATGTCTCGATTGACCTTTTGATCTCAGTTGCGACCACCAATGTCTTTCTGTAATTTTTTTTAGAATCTGAAAACTCAGGTATTTACTAAAAGAATAAAAGCATGATGGTTATGTCAAAAGGAGTTAATTAAACAAACATCAACAATCATAAATATCCATAATACACTATATCTTAAATGATCAATTATATTAGAAATATATAGAACATAATTATTTATGTTCTAAACTAAACTCCTTAAATTTCCTTCTGCACCCATTTACCTTATACCCTCTAAAACCTAAGTCAGATATTTATCAAAATTTGGAAGATTAAGTACTTGGTCTGAATCTGTTCTAATGATTTGTATACTGGTTGAGATTGCTTGAATCTTCTACTTCTATCAAGGTTGTTCCTTCAAATTTCTCCCAACAGTCCTACTGTTGTAGATTCCCAGTTCAACACATGCAATGTGATCACCTTAAGCCTGTGATACCTTGGATCAAAACTTAACTGGTTCTAGTACTGCAGTTACTGTGGAGTCTTGCACTAAAATTCTTTCTTTCTGTTGTCAGCTTGGCCATCCCAGAAGTCAAACTCTTTGTTAGGAATCCTTCAGTCAAGAAGAGGTTAAACTCTTTTCGGTAGAATACTAAATTTCAAATGATGTCTGCAGGAAGGAGATGATCCTTGGTCTACAGTCAAATTGTTCTGCAAAGTAAAAATCTTGAGACTGGAGTCACAGCCATAATCTACCCATCCCTATAATTAAATTCTTGTTTATCCTTTGCTATTGTATTGTTTAACACCTCAGCAACTTGGTTTCTTGATCATTGCTGGAAGCTAAGTGCTTGATCAGAAATTCACGCCGAGAGAAACCTAGTTCTTAAAGGCACTGATACCCCACAAAATAATTTTTTTCCTGTAAAAATACATGGACCATTAAGCTTGTTATAAGGTTATATAGGGTGCTTATGCCCTGGGGTAGGTAAGTGTTTTTTTAAAGGAAACATGCAATGATGCCAGCTACCACAAGATAACACTAATGCTGTGACCACATTCTCTTCTAATGTGACCATTGCTGGGGAGTCAGTGAATTTACACTTCTATTTTAAATGTAGATGGTTTTATTTATAATGAGTTATTTAGAGCAAAATAGCACACACTCTTTCAATCCATCAGTCATCTAACTTATCACTTTTATTACTTAATTCTATTTAAATAAAAAAAATTTGGGTGTCATCAACAAGGCCATATGTTTTCCAAACTTAATTGTCCTTGATCAAAGTGGCTTGCTAGGCCATTTTAGAGGGTAGTTAAGGATCTATCTCATTACTGTGGATATAGACCAGGTAAGGAGAGCAGATTTCCTTTTCCAGTAATCAGTAAACCAGATATTTTACAGTGACATTTCATGGCCACAATTTCTGAAGCTTGTTTTCAACACAAGATTTATTAATTATATTTCAGTCCCAAAAGCTGCCATATCAAAATTTGAACCCAAGCCTCCAGAACCTGGATATCTGGATAGTTAGTCTAATGACATTACCACTACTCCACCATCTTGCCCTATATATCCTAGATAGCCCTCTTATTGAGTCATAGAGTTATACAGCACGGAAACAGACCCTTCCAACTCATCCATGCTGACCAAATATCCTAAACTGATGTAGTCTCATTTACCAACATTCGACCCATATCCCTCTAAAGCCTTCCTATTCATGTACCCATCCAGATGCTTTTTAAATGACATAATAGCACTAGCCTCCCCCACTTCCTCTGGCAAATCGTTCCATAAGTGCACCATCCTCTGCGTGAAAAAGTTACCCCTCAGGTCCCTTTTAAATCTTTCCCCTTTCATGTTAAACCTATGCCATCTAGTTTTGGACTCCCCTGCTGTGGGGAAAAGACCTTGGCTATGCCCCTCATGATTTTATAAACTTCTGTAAGGCTACTCCTCAGTCTGCGATACTCCACAGAGGAAAGTCCCAGCCAATTCGGCCTTTCCCTATAGCTCCAATCCCGGCAACATGCTTGTAAATCTTTTCTGAGCCCTTTCAGGTTTGACAACATCTTTCCTATAGCAGGGAGACTAGAACAGAATGCAGTGTTCTAAAATTGGCCTCATCAATATTCTGTATAGTTTCAACATGACAATCCCAACTCCTATACTCAATTCACTGACCAATAAAGGCAAGCGCTTTCTTCGCCACCCTGTCTCTGTGACTCCACTTTCACCTGCAACCCTAGGTCTCTCTGTTTGGCAACACTCCCCAGGGCCTTAACATTAACTGTGTAAATCCTGCTCTGATCTGCCTTACCAAAATGCGACACATCAGATTTATCTAAATTAAACTCCATCTGCCACTCTTCAGCCCATTGGCCCATCTGATCAAGGTCCCGTTGAACTCTAAGATAACCTTCTTCACTGTCACTAGACCGCCAATTTTGGTGTCATCTACAAACTTGCTAACCATACATCCTATACTCACATCCAAATCATTTATATAAATGACAAAGCAGTGGATCCAGCAGCAGTCCTTGTGGCACATCACGGGTCACAGACCTCCGGTCCAAGAAACAACCCTCCACCACCATCACCCTCTGTCTCCTACCATCAAGACAATTTTGCCAGCATTTAAATGTTTAACTTGTTCCTCTTCTCTACTGTACCAGCCTCAGGCTTATCTCTTTTCTCACTATCCCTTTGAGGCCCTCCCCACTTTCTAGTTTAAAGCTTCCTGAGTAGCACTAGTAAACCTCCTCATCAGGATATTGGTCCCTTTCCAATTCA